TCTCCCGGGGTCTCCCTGGTGACCGTTCATCCATGCAGATGTGACCGAGCCCAGCACACGTCTCCCGGGGTCTCCCTGGTGACCGTGCATCCATGCAGATGTGACGGAGACCAGCACACGCCTCACGGGGTCTCCCTGGTGACCGTGCATCCATGCAGATGTGACCGAGCCCAGCACACATCTCACGGGGTCTCCCTGGTGACCATGCATCCATGTAGATGTGACCGAGCCTAGCACACATCTCACGGGGTCTCCCTGGTGACCATGCATCCATGCAGATGCAACCGAGCCCAGCACACATCTCCCGGGGTCTCCCTGGTGACCATGTATCCATGCAGATGTGACCGAGCCCAGCACACACCTCACGGGGTCTCCCTGGTGACCATGTATCCATGTAGATGCGACCAAGCCCAATACACATCTCTCAGGGTCTCCCTGGTGACCATGCACCCATGCAGATGTGACCGAGCCCAGCACATGCCTCACCGGGTCTCCCTGGTGACCATGCATTCATGCAGATGTGACCTAGCCCAGCAGATGCTGACGTGCTCCTGAGCATCTCACTTCATCCCTGCTATGCAGAGGAGAGAACCAGGTCCCAGGAGGATGAGGAGGGGCAGAGGGCCCACCCAGGGGAGCACAGGACAGGCCTGGCTGTGCACACATGCACCTCTCAACAGTGACAGCACCCTGTTACATACGTGCATGCACAGGCCACTCCCTCTCACACACGTGTGCACACACATCTCACACATACACAGCATTCACACCCCAGGTCCCAGCTTGCACACACACATCCTCACACCTGTGTCCTGTCCTTCTGCCACAGGTGGCATTCTCCTCACCTCAACAGCCACCCCTGAGGATCGAGGGAGATGAAGGTACCCAGGGCCTGGCTCCTGTGTCTGCTGCTGCTGGGCCTTACCCTGCAGGTGGCTGCACATCGCACCCACCAGCCCTCCATGGAGACTCACGGTGAGCACCCCACTGGGCACCCCCAACTCAGCCGCATCCGTGGTCACCGGAGAGCCCAGCCGGGTGGGGGGGGGTAGGAAAAGAAGTTGATCCTGGTGAGCTTTCATCTTCCTGCCTCCCAAAGCTACCCCACCCCACACCCGGAAATAACCTCACCAGACCTCGGGTACCTGTTCCACGTGTGGGTCCCAGGGTGGCCTGGAGACTGGGAGAGGCCCTGTGTGGAGCTCTGAGTGTGTGCACCCGCCCTGCCACCTCAGGGAGCAAACTCACACCGTGGGGCCTCGAGCCCAAGGGCCACTCTCACTCTTTCCTTTCCAGCCACCAACATCAACCCTGCCTGGTACAGAGGTCGCGGGATCAGGCCCGTGGGCCGCTTTGGCCGGAGGAGAGCAGCCCTGGGGGCTGTCCCCAAGCCTGGCCATCAACCCCAGCTAGCCTGCTTCAACCTGGAAGACATTGCTAAGTCCTCCCAGGAGGGGTGACCATCAGCTCATCAGGAAAACCACTCCAGAGCCTTCCTGCTCCCCCTCCACAGGCTGCCACCCCTTTAATAAAAGTGCCAGCTGTGGTTAGCTGCAACTCTAATGACTCAGAAGGTGTTTTATCTCCTGGGATGTTAGCCTAGAAAGAAACTTGGTACTCAGAAGACTCTTAGGAAAGAGAGGCTCTGTAGTTTACCTGAGGCCACCTGGCATTGGGTCGGGGAGCTGGGACCATCCTTGGTCACTTGCAGCCCATGGTCTATATCCACAACTGTACAAGCCACCCTGACAGTTGCCTAGGTTGTGCACTGCACAAAGCCAGGAGTTACCATGCACCAGCCTGTGCAGGACACCGTCCCCAGAGGGGGCCACACAGACCCAGGCCTGAGCTCAGTCCCTCTCTCAGCCCCAGTCCTTTTTGTGAAGACTGTACATTTTATAGCAGTTGGGGTTCCCCCAAAAACTAAGCAGAAGGTTCAGAGATCTCCCATCTACCCCTGTCCCCAGGCACTGCCTCCCCCACTACCAACATATCCCACCAGAGGTAGTTTGTCACAGCTGATGAGCCTCCCCTGACACATCAGAGCCCTGTTCACAGCTGGCATCAGGGCTCGTCCTCACACTGTGCATCCTGTCCTGTGGGTTTGGGTGCTGTGCAGTGACACACGTCCACCAGCCCACAGGGGCTTCACTGCCCTCAACACCCGGGCTCTACTGCTCATCCTTCCCTCACCCCAGCCTCAGGCACTGCTGATCCTCTTAAGTCTTGCCTCCTCCTTATTCCAAGGAAAGGAATTCGAGGTTGCTTGGTTTTTGTTTTTTTTAGAGACAGAGTCTCACATTATCACCCTTGGTAGAGTGCCGTGGCATCACAGCTCACAGCAACCTCCAACTCCTAGGCTTAAGTGATTCTCTTGCCTTAGCCTCCCGAGTAGCTGGGACTACAGGTGCCTGCCACAACACCTGGCTATTTTTGTTGCAGTTTGGCTGGGGCTGGGTTTGAACCTGCCATCCCTAGTATATGAGGCCTGCATCCCTACCCACTGAGCCACAGGCACCACCCACCTGTTTCTAATCCACACAGGGAGACTTGAACCCAGATTGCCCCACCACCTCTCTGTCCCTTTCAAGTCACACAAGAGTCTCTATGTCCTGCCTCAGATGAAAACTCACTTGGCATCAGGAGACACCCACACTAGCTTGGCCACTAAGCTCAGCCTGGGCATCTGCATACCACGGGACAGCCACTTAGCAGCCACTTACCTGGGCATCTGCATACAGCCACTTACCTGGCTCCTGAGCTCCAATCACATAGCACCCACACACCAGCCAGCCGGGGGTGGGGTGGGGGGGGTGGGGTGGTGGTGAAGAAAAGCCCCTTCCCCAAGGCCCACCTGCAACCCAGCATGGGGTAACAGGTTTAACCGCATTCCTACAACCCAATGCTTGGTGCCTGGGCTGTGCCAGACCCACCTGCAAACATCCTTCTCAGGGGCCCACCCTGACCACAGCCCTCCTGTCCATCAACACTCAGAAGGGCCCAGTGGCAGACAACACCTGGACCCCAGCCACCTCTGGCCCAGACCATCCACACAGGACTGAGTCAGGGACATCCCCAGACCCAATGGGAGCCCTTCTGCCCTGGCCACCTCACCAGGGTGGAGTGTACCTGTGGGCAGCCCTGCCCAACTGTGTCCCATTCCCTGGGGGCAGGTGCTGGGTCAGGACTTGAAGAGGGTCACAGCCCAGGAAAGAAGATTGGTGGTTCCTCAAAAAGATAAACAGAATTACCATAGACTCCCACCCCCAGGGAGGTGCAGGCCAGTGCTCAGGGGCTCTTGTTCAGGAATGTTGATGACACCACTATTCACAGTGGCCAACAGGTACAAACGACCCAAATGCCCATTGTCCTGGTTAGTTTGGGCTTCTATAAGAAGGTTCCATGGACACAGAGGCCTAAGGAAGAGACATTTATTTCTCACAGTTCTGGAGGCTGAAGTCCAAGATCAAGGTGCCGGCAGATCCAGTACCAGTGAAGGCCCTTCCTAGTGTATGTTCCCTGAAGGCAGAGAAGAAGCAAGGTCTCCGGCTCCCTTAATAGGGCACTAATTCCATTCAGGAGGGCTGCATCTTCTTGACCCAATAATCTCTTCCCAAAGACCCGGCCTCCCACTACCATGACAACAGGGGTTAGGAATTCAACATAGGGATTTGAGGGGGACACAGACATTCCATAGTGCCCATCCATAGATGGGTGGGGTGAGCAAAATGCGGCCTAGCTATGTGGTGGAGTATTATTCAACCATAGAAAGGAATGTGGCACTGACCTGTGCTATGGGATGAGCCAGAAAACGGTGGGCCACGTGAAAGAAGTCTCAAAACCCACGTGGGGTAGTTCCCAGTTATATGACAAACCCAGAATATGCGATTTCAAAAGGATAGCAAGTGGCTGCCAGGGTGGGGGAAGAGGGGTGAAGGGGGAATGACTGCTTGGTAGGGGTGGGTCCCTTTTGGGGGTGAGGAAGATGTTTTGGAACCAGACTCAGGTGGAGGCTGAAGAACGTGGTGAATGTACTAAAAGCCACAGTTACACACGTCAACAACAGACACAACAGCTTGTGTGGCATGAGATGCAGCCTGGTACAGATGGCTGCACAGGGGTCCCCCACGGTGGGGCACCTGCTCTTCTGTCTCTGTATTTCCTGACTCCAACAGGCAGGCTGAAGGGCTCACCTGGGTTTCATTTGCTTACTGTGGGTATGAATGCTCTGTGTCATATCTACAGTGGGCCCAGGGTCCCTCCCTGACGGAGCTCTCCGTGTCAAGGTTTTTTCCATGTGACCAATATGCAATCTGTGCAGGTCCCGGGGCCCCCCAGCAATATCTTCTCTCCCACCTAGCTCACACCCAAGATGCACCTACTGACCCTTCTTCCCGGGAGCAATTGCGACATCATGGGTCACCCAATGGGGACTCTCCAACTCCTTCCACATTTATCAGCTGGATTCTTCCAAAGAAGATATTTTTCCCCCTCAGTGCCTTATAAGTAATTTTTGATGTTTGAATTGCCCTAAATTTGGAAAGTGAGCACCCTGAGAAAGGAGTAAATGTTTAAAGAAAAAGTGTACATCTGGCCAGGCCCTTGGGGCTCACACCTGTACTCTCAGCACTCTGGGAGGCCAAGTGGGGAGGATTGCTTGAGGTCAGGAGTTCCACACCAGCCTGAGCAAAAGTGAGACCCCATATCTACTAAAAATAGAAAACTTAGTCAGGCATGGTGGTGCACACTTGTAGCCACAGCTACTTGGGAGGCTGAGGCAGGAGGATCACTTGAAGCCCAGGAGTTTGAGGTTGCAGGGAGCTATGATGACCCCACTGCACTCCAGCCTGTGTGGCGGAGCAAGACTGTGTATCAAAGAAGGGAGGGAGGGAGGAGAGAGAAAGAGAGAAAAGGAAGGAAGGAAAGGAGGGAGGGAGAGAGAGAAAAGGAAAAGAGAAGGGGAGGGGAGGGAAAGGGAAAGGTCTGTGAGTCAGCCCCTCCAGAGGACTTAGATGAGAACATATTCAGGACAAGCCATGGAAAGTATCAGAGGCACGGGCTTGGACACCAGGGAGCTCCCGAGGGCACCTGTGTGGGAACAACAGCTTTAGAGAAGACAGGTCCAGACTCGGGCTAAGCAGGGCTAGAGCCCTTTACTCTAGCAGGGGTCCTCCAACTACAAGCCGCCTGCCTAGAACATTAATCCCGCCCTCCGGGTGTTCTTGCCACTGCTGCCTGTCCTGCTTAGCAGCCGACTCCTCCTGGGCCGCAGTCCGGCCCTCCAACGGTCTGAGGCACAGTGAACTGGCCCCCTGTTTAAAAAATTTGAGGACTCCTGCAAGCATCTGACAGGGACACCTGCCAGCCCCGGTGGCCCATCCCCATGTGCTCACAGACATGGGGCCGCCCTGCCCCATGGGGACAGGGGAGTGGGTGTAGCATCCGCAGGGGGCGCCTTTCGCCCGTATCTGTCGGTCGGTCTTGGTGGGGGCCATTACCAGGAAAGCCAGCCTGTTCTTCAGGTCTCTGGGGAAACACGGCTTTTGTCCCTTCACTCACACCCGTGTTGCGCCACCTGGTGCGTGCCCGACCCCGTGGAAGGCGCTGGAACCCCGCCCTCGCAGAGGTTCCAGACGACAGAGACCAGGCTCCTGGGGGGCGGCGAATCCCGCGCAGGAGCCATGGTGGGAGCCCACGTGGGCTCTCTGAAGCCTGGGGATTCCAGGTCAGGGTTGAGCCCCATCCACCTGGGGGGAGGAGGAAAGGGAAAGAGACAGTCACAATCCTAGGAGGTGGGTGACCCCCAGGGCTCCGATCTCATGGAGGCTATGAAAGAATTCCTGATGGGAAAAGCCAAATTCTAGCCGAGTGATACTAGTTTGAAAGACCAGGGACACAGGATCAGAGACACCAGCACCAACAGATCTCCTTCCCCCTCTACTTCAGCACTTCCCATTCCGTCCAGCCCAGGTGGCCCCTCTGCAAGCCCGGTTTGCTCCTGGGCTGAGCCAACGCCGCGCGGCCCGAGCAGGGGTTCGCCTTGCCCAGTGCTGGGGCGCCACCTAGTGGACACAGGCAGCCTCAGCAGGAACACGAGACCCCCAGGGTGGGTCCACCTGCCAGGTGCAAGGGGTCCCTGCTCAGAGCCACTGTGGGGCACCGAACACAGCTGAGCACACTGGGGACTCGCCTCTTGGGCACCTCATCTGCAAGGGGATCATGGCACTAGACTCCGACTTTATTCGCAGTTAGAAACGGCAAGGGACTCAGCAATCTGTTGTCAGGCGCCACCTACAAAATTGTCTAAGGATAAAAACAGTGTCACTGAAAATCACAAAAAATAGGCCCTCTCAGAAGCTGTTACTTTCTTTATTTACCCTTACCTTTCCTCAAAGACCGTGGCAATAAAGAGCCTTGTGAGATCTGGTCTGTGTTTATCCCATAAAGGCCATTTGGGAAGTTTCTTTGAGGTCACATAAGCACCAGGAAAGCCTCACTCTCAGGAAGACTAGAGCTGCTTTCACCTACCCAGAGCAGAAGCCGGGTCCCCCAGGGCCCAAAAGGCACAGATGCCCCCTCCAGTCAGGAAAAGGACCCTGGAGGCTCTTTAGAAAGGATGTTACCACCTGCAGTTGGGATGCAGAGGAGGCCAGGCCCGATGGAGGTGGGGGGTGGCCTGGGGCCAGCACAGGGCCATCCTCAGTGGCCTCACCAGGCAGAATTCAGCAAGCTGAGGCTCCCAGAGGTCAAGCCTGGTGGCTGGGAAGGTGCTCTCCACACAAGGGCCAGAGCAGAGGGCCGGCAGGGGGGAGCAGGCTGCACAGCCCTCTTGGGAGTGATGATGAGATGGGACAATGGGAGGGGCACTCGGTTCCCCTCTGCTCGTGCTCACAGGGACAGGCGCAGCTGCACTGCTCAGGTGACAACGTCTGTCTTACCCTGTGCAACTCACACCTGCTGATCCCAGCCCCAGAGGCAAGAACCTTCCAAGAAAAGGCCACCTTTGAAACAGCTGTGAAAGGCCTGCACCTTGTCACGTCAGGTGACTAGAGTCACCCCTCTCAGGGAGCTCACCCCTATCCCACGAAGAGGGATCTAGGTTTCTCTGTAAAGGCTGGCAGTCACAATGGTGAGGTGCATCACCATCTGGGAACAGGTGCCTTCCAGGGAGGTGGCCATGCCCACCCTTTCCACAGCCTTTGCAGGAGGGCCACCTCCTTGTTTTCTGAGAACAAGCCCTCCTAGAATAAATACAAGGACACCTGTGGTCACACCAACCCTTAGGCTCTGTCCTCCACCTTGTCCTTGAAAACACACCAAAGCCTGATTGTCAAAAGCAGTTAAAATTTCAGACAAATAAAAATGCATAAGTGATACAATTTGCATCTCAGGCTAAGCCTCCGAATCTTCATGAGCGTTGGCAGAAACTTTGCTTTATCAAATGTGCAGCCAAAAGGAGAGAGTGGAAGGGGCTTGTTCCACCTCTCCCACCTCCCAGAAGCAGGTGGGCCCAGCCACTGGGCCAGCACGCCGTCCAAGCCAGGTAGAAGCATCTTGCAACCATCAGGGCAATCAAAATGTTTTTCCAATCCTTGCTTCTCTGCCCCGTTTAATTCCTCTCTGTCCAAGGGTGAGGCAGCCCAGAGTGTGACAATACAGATAGTGCAGACACAGGCATCTGGAATCAGGTGGTGTCCAGGCCAACATTCTTCTGGGAGTCACTTGGCCTGGATCCTCCTAAGACATTGTCACTGGATTTGTGAAGTGGTCTTTATAAAGGATGCCAACTTCTGGGAACCTTCTGGGCTCAGGAACACCAGTGACTGAGGATCACAGCCAGCCGGGAGCGTCCTCACCACAGTCCCTCCTGCAGTAGCTGCTTCTAGTGGGTACAGCATCTGACCTGCCTCATGGGTCCCCCGCTCAGAGCCACAGCTGCGTCCCTGGCCTGAGCCGGGCCCTCCCTTTTGCGTCTCCGCAAGAGCTCTCGGGCTGTGAAGTCAGAGAGGGGGCTGGCTGGGGAGGAAGTGCTCCACAGGCCTCCCCACCTTTATCCAGGGCCCCCCACCTCTCCTGGTCCCCAGCGGGTCCCTAGAGACACTCTCCTGCATCTTTGGACACCAGCAAAGGAGACCCAGGAAGCAGATATGGTGCAGAGCACAGGTCCCCTCTCCTGGCCCAGGGCCACCACTCACCTACGGCACTGAAGACCTCAGACACCTGGTGGTTCAGTTTGGCAGAGGTTTCCATGAACAGCAACCTTTTGCTCTCAGCAAACTCCTGCCCCTCCTGAGGGAAACAGCCACAGAAATCCAGCATATTTTATAAGAGGAGCATTTCCTAACAACCCCTAGTTGACATGAAGACCCAGGAGGCACTCACAGCCCCAGAGACCTGGCTCCTCTGCATTTCTCACTCAGCTCCATTTCTGGGCCCACCTGGAGAACTCAGGCCTGGGGCAGGGATGGAGGGGGCGGTGTGCTGGGACAGGGCCCGCCTGGAGTCATCAAGAGGACCCTCCCCCGGCTCTGGCACCTGTGGGCCTGATGCTGGAGACAGAAGCCAACAGACAGCCAAGGCCTGGCTGGAGCCCACCCAGGCCCCTCTCAGGAGCCGCATTGTCCAACACCATGATTGTGCCTACAGGAGACACAGAAGGCAGTGGCACAGGAGGGCCCCGCCACACCCAGGAGCCAGGGTGGCCAAGGAGTGGTGGCCTTCCTGAGCAGGCCCTCCCCTAACCTCCGGGCCTCTCCCAAGGAAACGGAGCTCACGGTGGTCCTGAGGGCACAGCACAGGCTCCCACGCCCACACCTGCTCCTGCCCACTTCTCCCCTCTCCTGGGCTCAGGGAGCTGTCAGCCAGACCTGGGATGAGAATGGCACAATGCTGAACACGGAGCAAGAGGGGACCAGAAGACGCAAGCACCTTCGCGTCAGCGCGGGGCTCCCATCCTGCCCGAGATGCAGCCACTACTATTGGGCATCACAAAGAACAAGGTGACCTGGTGTCGCTGAAGACATAGCGACTCCTAATAGCGTGTGTCTGGCCACATGAATGAGATCCAAATATCCAGCTTGTGGGCTCAGGTGGGGTCACTTGAAGGGTTTGCGCTCAGGTTCCAGGGCTGGTAGACCCTACGTCGAACCCGACCTCCCTCCCTCTCCTGCCAGTTTTCTCCTTGACGTCCCCCAAGTGGAGGTCCCTGGCCATCCCATCCCTGCTCCCCACTGAGCACACCCAGCACCCAGGTAGTGGCTTCTTTTTTTTTTAAATTGTTGGGGCTTCATTGAGGGTACAAAGAACCAGGTTACACTGATTACATTTGTTCTGTAAAGTTCCTCTTACAATTGTGTTTCTCCCTCAAAGGTGTCTCATACACCGAAACTCCCCACCACCCTAGATGTTGGTTTCTAAATTCATTCTCCAGTGAAAAGAGCCACACAGACAGCTGCCTACACACACCTACACACACACCTCCTCAGGCATGTGTGCCCACAAACACACCCAGTAACACAGCACCTGCACAGACCTGCTAGATCACAGGTCCTCAAACTTTTTAAACAAGGGGCCAGTTCACTGTCCCTCAGACCATGGGAGGGCCGGACTGTGGGCCCGGGAAGAGTTGGCTGCTAAACATGACAGGCAGCAGCAGCAAAAACACCCGGTTGGCTGGGTCAGTGTCCTCAGTGGGCCGCATGTGGCCCGCAGGCCGTAGTTTGAGAACCCCTGAGCTAGACACACAGGTGCTCACACCCTGCACACACCCTCTTATACACATGCACCTCACACACGTGTACACGCACAGCTGGATACACATACACCTCCCATACACAGACACACACACGTGCACACACCCTTCAGTACACACAAGCAGCACACATATCTCCTATATACACATGTACAGATACACAGCCCTCACACACATGCCTGTACACATGTGTACACACACCCTCCTGCCCTCAGCACGGGAGGCTCTCCCACCTCCCCTACACTGCCCTGCAGCAGTGCCCTGTGCTCTCTGCTGCATTTACCCCACTATGGGCCAGGTGACCAGGACAGGGCCCTTGGTGGCTGGTGGTGAGGGTGGTTCATTTTGGCAGAGGTTGTGCAGGACCCAGCCAGACCCTCTGGCCAGCCTCTGGGAAGGCCTGGGCAGGGCTCCCAGCTTTCCCCCCTGTGTGAATGTCACTGTCACTAGGTCTGAGCTTTGCAGGAAAGACCAGA